AGGTCGCTTTGCTCCCCATACCATTAAATGGTGTATTGATACCCGCATTCCTTCCCCCACTACAGAGTTGATATAAAACTTACCAGTATAGTCGTCTGTGACGTAGGTACTGTGTTTGTTATATAATCCCCAGTCATCACCCTTTGACCATGAGAGTGCTTGCCCTTGGCATTGGAACCTGCCGTTTTGACATGAGACTCTCAACTGAGTTTTTGAATTAGATAAAAATCATTTTAAGTTAGACTGACTTAAGTCACTTATTATTTTTGGTAACATCTTCTTGTGTTTACTTTAGTGAGAATTGTTAAGACCTATTCTCAATTATGTTTTGGGTCGATTTAAAAAAAAAAAAATTAAATTGTGGGTGATTTTTTTTTTTTGGAGGGGGGGGGAGGGAAGAATTCCTAGTAATAAAGAGGTTTTTTTTTGAAAGGGTCACCATAATTATTGAAAGAACTTGACAATGTTGTTAGCATCACTTCGTTGTCACCCTCCTGGAAACCCAACGTCATATGTTGTATTTACGCCACTGCTTTAGTTTCTGCGTATGCGCCCCACATAGACACACACACTCACGCATTCGTTCGACACATACTAACTTCCAGTTATTGAATTACTCTAGGGCGTCCATTTATTACGTCAACAATTTTAAAGCGATTTTTGACCCTCTACCTCCCCCCTTGTCAACAACTGTCAAACTTTCAATGACCCCCCACCCCACACAAGTAATTAGCTCAATTTGTATAGCCCCCCCCCCACCTCCTTTAAAAATGAATTATAATATAAATAAATAACTTTTATAGATCCATGTTACTTTGTGATGATCTATTTTAATGTCACAAACTTGTAGGAAAAACATTTTATTGCATCTTTTGCCTGTTCATCAACACGTTAAAACTTTATAGAACTAAACGTTATGTAACTCTTTTAATTTACACTCATTAATTTTTTTAAAAATAATGCAATCAGCAGCAAATTTTTAAGATAAAAATTTTAATAGAGGAAACATGATTTTTGACATCAACTAATCTAACACCCCCCCCCCCAAACATTTTCCCCCTTGTCATTAAAAATAATGCAAACAGCAAAAAAATTTTAAAATAAAAATTTAAAAGAGGAAACATGATTTTTGACCTCAACTAACCCAACCCCCCCCCCCCCAAACATTTTCCCCCTTGTCAACAATTGTCACACATCCCCCCTCCCACGCCCCATTTTGTTGACATAATTAATGGACGACCCCTAGGTATGAAAGAACACAATCTAAGCATATTTATGCGGATGTACAAGTAGAGCATCACGCAAAATATTGAGTTCAAATAAAAAGTATTGATGACGAAACTACCTGCAAAAAATAAGCTTAAGTCGTTCAGGTAATAGAGAAATATCACCAACGATACCATCGAAATGAAAAGAACATCGAGCAGATTCTCGGGGATCGATACAAGTTTTCTCAGGTATCGTCTGGATAAGCCCATAGTTGATTACCAAATCTCTCTGTTCTTTTTGAAGAAATCAATGCATTAGGAACATTCCATTCAATGCATTAGGAACATTTCATTCAATGCATTAGGAACATTCCATCAAATGCATTAGGAACATTCCATTTAATGCATTAGGAACATTCCATTCAATGCATTTGGAACATTCCAATCAATGCATTAGGAACATTCCATTCAATGCATTAGGAACATTCCATCCAATGCATTAGGAACATTCCATCCAATGCATTAGGAACATTCCATTCAATGCATTAGGATCATTCCATTCAATGCATTTGGAACATTCCATCCAATGCTTTAGGAACATTCCATCCAATGCATTAGGAACATTCCATTTAATGCATTAGGAACATTCCATTCAATGCATTAGGAACATTTCATTCAATGTATTAGGAACATTCCATCCAATGCATTAGGAACATTCCATTTAATGCATTAGGAACATTCCATCCAATGCATTAGGAACATTCCATTTAATGCATTAGGAACATTCCATCCAATGCATTTGGAACATTGCATCCAATGCATTAGGATCATTCCATTCAATGCATTTGGAACATTCCATCCAATGCATTAGGAACATTCCATCCAATGCATTAGGAACATTCCAGCCAATGCATTAGGAACATTCCATCCAATGCATTAGGATCATTCCATTAAATGCATTTGGAACATTTCATCCAATGCATTAGGAACATTCCATTCATAAAATTGGATTGTGAAAATTCCATTCAATTGGTTAGGAAATTCCAGTCAATGCATTAGATGGTTAAATCTCGACAGAATATAACAAAAATGAAATCTATTTTGTTAAGGACCAAATTCAAATATCCATTAGAATTACGAATTATAATGTGTGCCTTTCTTTTGACTTACTCTAGTGAAAGTATCCGTCTCTTTTACGTTGCTTTGTTTTAATGGATACTATCATGTTTCAATACTGCCTAAGATAAGTCCAGTGACTTATCTTTATAGCTTTACCCTTTTGGTACAAATGTTTGCGATACAGAAGTAAGTAATATTTAAAGGGCTGTGATAAAGCCGAAGGACAATCCAAAACAACCGGACGTTTCGTCTACACAGGAAGTTAGCTTCCGGGCACTGCCGGCATCTCCGGACCAAGAAGGATCTTTGTTAGGACTAACGTAGTTCTAATTTCATGTCAGTTTAATATATCTTAATTTCATGTCAGTTTAATATATCTTAATTTCATGTCAGTTTAATATATCTTAATTTCATGTCAGTTTAATATATCTTAATTTCATGTCAGTTTAATATATCTTAATTTCATGTCAGTTTAATATATCTTAATTTCATGTCAGTTTAATATATCTTAATTTCATGTCAGTTTAATATATCTTAATTTCATGTCAGTTTAATATATCTTAATTTCATGTCAGTTTAATATATCTTAATTTCATGTCAGTTTAATATATCTTAATTTCATGTCAGTTTAATATATCTTAATTTCATGTCAGTTTAATATATCTTAATTTCATGTCAGTTTAATATATCTTAATTTCATGTCAGTTTAATATATCTTAATTTCATGTCAGTTTAATATATCTTAATTTCATGTCAGTTTAATATATCTTAATTTCATGTCAGTTTAATATATCTTAATTTCATGTCAGTTTAATATATCTTAATTTCATGTCAGTTTAATATATCTTAATTTCATGTCAGTTTAATATATCTTAATTTCATGTCAGTTTAATATATCTTAATTTCATGTCAGTTTAATATATCTTAATTTCATGTCAGTTTAATATATCTTAATTTCATGTCAGTTTAATATATCTTAATTTCATGTCAGTTTAATATATCTTAATTTCATGTCAGTTTAATATATCTTAATTTCATGTCAGTTTAATATATCTTAATTTCATGTCAGTTTAATATATCTTAATTTCATGTCAGTTTAATATATCTTAATTTCATGTCAGTTTAATATATCTTAATTTCATGTCAGTTTAATATATCTTAATTTCATGTCAGTTTAATATATCTTAATTTCATGTCAGTTNTATATATATTATATTATATTTTTTAAAATTAAAATAAAAAGACTCGGTTAAACAAGAAAAATAACAAAATAATATTTAATCAAAGTAAACACTAATTTAATAGATATATGTGAAGAAAAGTCACAAATGTTGGCAAAAATAAATTCACCAAAGGGGCCAATAATGTATTCATAAAAGCGGGCAATAATAAAGTCATAAAAGTGGGCAATAATGTAGTCATAGAAGTGGGCAATAATAAAGTCATAAAAGTGGGCAATATTGTATTCATAAAAGTGGGCAATAATTTATTCATAAAAGTGGGCAATAATTTATTCAAGAAAGTGGGCATTAATTTATTCATGAAAGTGGGAAAAATTCCCTACAAACGGCGTCGAAGGACCGTTCAGTTAGTCGTTTGTTCCTTGATTTGTTCTGAAGCCAAAGTTTCAGGGGGTGTGACTTCTGACTTTCAGGGAATGTGACTTCTGGCTCTCAGGGGTTGTGACTTCTGACTTTCAGGGGAAGTGACTACTGACTTTCAGGCGATATGACTTCTGACTTTTAGGTGATGTGACTTCTGACTTTCAGGGGATTTGACTTCTGACTTTCAAGGGATGTGACTTCTGACTTTCAGGGGATGTGACTTCTGACTTTCAAGGGATGTGACTTCTGACTTTCAGGGGATGTGACTTCTGACTTTCAAAGGCTGTTTTAATTTTGTTTTTTATAAATGATAACGAATCTCTAAGCATGTGTTTTCTGTTAAAGATGATATCATGAACTTTAGAAGCCAGACGAAAATTCATGGCATGTGTCGTCTGTTGTTGATGATATAATTTTTCTAGAAACCAGATTGACAGTCAAGGTATGTCATACCAGATATCATCAAGTCTAGAAGAGCATTAGAGATTTTTTTTAAAATGTCAACGAACATCTTTGTTATTTTCCATGCAGCGTGTGCGATCAGAGTTTAGATAATGTTACAAGATGATGACATGTGCTACATTTGAACATAGGATGATGACATGTGCTACATTTGAACATAGGATGATGACATGATGTTACATTTGAACATATGATGATGTCATTATGTTACATTTGAACATAGATTGATGAAATGTGCTACATTTGAACATAGGATGATGACATGATGTTACATGTGAACATAGGATAACGGCATGATGTAACATTTGAACAATGAATTGATGACATGATGTTACGTTTGGACATCCATTTATTACATGATGCTACATTTAAACCTACGGTGGAGGCAAGACGTCACAACGCCATCAAATACCGGCAGTGCTGAACACGAGTTTTCTGGAATTTATCTGTCAGTAGGGCAGCAATGCAATCTTGTTGAATGATTGTATGATACGTTCATCTCTTGTCATTGCTTTGGAATGAATTAAATCCCTTTAAGGAATTGCTTCAAGTAGGACACGGCAGATAACTCCTTATTAATAAATGTCAGTTGTAGGTTTTAAGTAACCTATGATGACTCCGGCCACATAAACCGTGTGTCATTGAGAAGCTGAGAGAGGTCTTGGTTAAATCGATAGAAGAATTCGTCCAGCAACGCCCTCGTCTCCGGATACATCGGCCCGGCCTTCTTCTTAAGTCTCGTTTCGTGTATCACCTTCTGTTTCACCAGAAGGTCAAGGTCGTGTTCTGGCAAAGGAGCTGAACAGAGACGAAATGTAGACGATTCAACTAGACATTGCGATGCAACATATTATTTGTACGGCTTCAAGAAGAAATCCATTATTATCGTAATTAGCAAATCACTCTAAGAATAATTCATTAAAATTTATACTTAAAATGATTTATTTTCTCTAAATAATTCAACAGATTTTGATGAATTAAAAAGTCCTTAATTTAATTTCGTTAAACTTGGAATTAAATATTTTGAATTTTTTAAAGTTCAATAATCTCTAACACAGTGCTAAAACGGTTCTTTAAAAATGTTAATTTGAAAAAAAAGGGAAACAATAGTTTGTGTTAGAGAGTGTATTGTTTACTTACGAACTTGCAGAAACTGAAAGGCTTTCGTCAAAGTCTCCTTCATGTTGCTGTGGTAGTCCTCCGTGCGGAGGATGAGGAAATGCTGGTGGTTGAACACTGAAAGCCATTCTCTGAGAAATATGGAGTAGCAGCTGACGTGGATTCGCATCTAGAAATATAAAGAAAATGCTGATGAGATGTTAAACACAATAGAATCTCTCTAAATATGCTAACATATCTGCCAATAGAATCTATCTAAGAATGCATAACCTTACAGATCTACAAGTAAAATCTATCTACGTATGTTTATCCTTACAGAACTGCCCATAGCATCAGAAATCTATCCCCTACATATATGCAAATAGAATAATATCCCCTACAGATCTTCCAATACAATGTATCTAAGTGTGACGCTCCCTACAGATACAGGTGTGCCGTCAACGTTTCTAAACGTCCCACAAGATACAATTGTCAGTTCTTAAACATCTGAAACAACAACGTGTCCATATCTTCTCCCCTATACATTAAACAAAACTAGCAAGGATGATTTGTTGACATCATTTATAGACTTATGACTGAGGCTGATATTTGGCCCAGATGAAACATGGTCAGAAATCATCCATCCATTCCTGTGGCACTACAGCCCTTGTAGGGCTTTGGCCTGCCTCACCACTCCTTTCCACTCAGACCAAACTAATGCCTTTCTTTTCCATGCTTGGACTTTCAGCTGCTGTAGATCTTTTTCCACATCATCCATCCATCTAAGCCTAGGTCTGCCTTTAAGCCTGTTTCCTCTGGGGTATTGGTGATGCACCCTCTTCGTTCCTCTGTCATTTGGCATTCTCTCCAAGTGTCCTGCCCAACGTAGTCTGCGTCTTTTTATTTCTGCTACTTTCGTGGGATCCCGATATAGACCGTACAATTCCTGGTTGGTTCGTATTCTCCATCCATATTCATCCTTTGTTGGTCAATACATTTTCCTGATAACTTTTCTCTCCCATGTGTTTAATAGGTTTTCTGCCGTTTTTGTTAGGGTCCAAGTTTCACTTGCATATGCAACAACTGGTCTGATTACAGTTTTATAAATAGTTGTCTTTGTTTCTCTTGTAATGTTATTACGGGCAGAAATCAGCACGTTTGAAAACATTGTTTGGCAACCAGGTGTGTGCAGATATGATAATTTATCATTAAAAAAACATCATGTTTTTCTGATGTGATATTCCCTGAGATACACTCACATGTATCATTTGATAGATGTACTCACTGGATTTTTTTTGTACAAATGTACTCACTGGTAACTTTCAATAAATTGTACTCACTAGTAACTTTTGATACATTTTACTCACTGGTAACTTTCAATACATTGTACTCTCTGGAAACTTTCGATACATTGTACTCAATGGTAACTTTCAATACATTGTACTCACTGGTAACTTTCAATACATTGTACTCACTGGTAACTTTTGATACATGTCCTCGCTGAAGAAACATTGGCGAGTTGTGTTGACCCTGAGTCAGTCCCGCATCATGTCTATAGCTATAGGGACGTCACGGGCAAACTTGTGGGCCGTGAAACCGTAGCCGAGGAAAACGTAGTCAGAGTAGAGTCTAAGTGGACAGAGAAACATGCAGTCAGAGTAAAGTCTAAGTGGGGGACACAGAGAAACACTGAGTCAGAGTAGAGTCTAAGAGGACAGAGAAACACGTAGTCAGAGTAGAGTCTAAGTTGACAGAGGAGCACGTAGTCAGAGTAGAGTCTAAGTGGACAGAGAAACACGCAGTCAGAGTAGAGTCTAAGTGGACAGAGGAGCACGTAGTCAGAGTAGAGTCCAAGTGGACAGAGAAACACGTAGTCAGAGTAGAGTCTAAGTGGACAGAGAAACACGTAGTCAGAGTAGAGTCTAAGTGGACAGAGGAGCACGTAGTCAGAGTAGAGTCCAAGTGGACAGAGAAACACGTAGTCAGAGTAGAGTCTAAGTGGACAGAGAAACATGCAGTCAGAGTAGAGTCTAAGTGGACAGAGAAACACGTAGTCAGAGTAGAGTCTAAGTGGACAGAGGAGCACGTAGTCAGAGTAGAGTCCAAGTGGACAGAGAAACACGTAGTCAGAGTAGAGTCCAAGTGGACAGAGAAACACGTAGTCAGAGTAGAGTCCAAGTGGACAGAGAAACACGTAGTCAGAGTAGAGTCCAAGTGGACAGAGAAACACGTAGTCAGAGTAGAGTCCAAGTGGACAGAGAAACACGTAGTCAGAGTAGAGTCCAAGTGGACAGAGAAACACGTAGTCAGAGTAGAGTCCAAGTGGACAGAGAAACACGTAGTCAGAGTAGAGTCCAAGTGGACAGAGAAACACGTAGTCAGAGTAGAGTCCAAGTGGACAGAGAAACACGTAGTCAGAGTAGAGTCCAAGTGGACAGAGAAACACGTAGTCAGAGTAGAGTCTAAGTGGACAGAGAAACACGTAGTCAGAGTAGAGTCCAAGTGGACAGAGAAACACGTAGTCAGAGTAGAGTCCAAGTGGCCAGAGAAACACGTAGTCAGAGTAGAGTCCAAGTGGACAGAGAAACACGTAGTCAGAGTAGAGTCTAAGTGGACAGAGAAACACGTAGTCAGAGTAGAGTCCAAGTGGACAGAGAAACACGTAGTCAGAGTAGAGTCTAAGTGGACAGAGAAACACGTAGTCAGAGTAGAGTCCAAGTGGCCAGAGAAACACGCAGTCAGAGTAGAGTCCAAGTGGCCAGAGAAACATGCAGTCAGAGTAGAGTCCAAGTGGCCAGAGAAACACGTAGTCAGAGTAGAGTCTAAGTGGCCAGAGGAACACGTAGTCAGAGTAGAGTCTAAGTGGGGACACAGAGAAACACGTAGTCAGAGTAGAGTCTAAGCGGGAGACACAGAATGCCATCATGATTAATGTAACAAAAAGTAAAATCAAGATTAAAGAAAAATTATGGAATTTAGATTCATATTAAAAAATGAAATCTAGATTAAGGTAAGAGAATGAAATCTCGATAGATATGAAATGAATAGAGTTTAGATTGCTGGGCGAGTAGTGAAGAATAAATAATGGTTGGAATGGTTGGTTCAATTGAGAGTAATGATAAGAAGTCATAATTCAATATGACATTGGGATGGAGAACCAAACAATGATAGTGTGAGTTAATGTCTGGTGTGTCAGTCTTCAATTGTGAGTTAATGTCTGGTGTGTCAGTCTTCAATTGTGAGTTAATGTTTGGTGTGTCAGTCTTCAAGTGTGAGTTAATGTTTGGTGTATCAGTCTTCAAATGTGAGTTAATGTTTGGTGTGTCAGTCTTCAAATGTGAGTTAATGTTTGGTGTGTCAGTCTTCAAGTCTGAGTTATGTTTGGTGTGTCAGTCTTCAATTGTGAGTTAATGTTTGGTGTGTCAGTCTTCAAGTGTGAGTTAATGTTTGGTGTGTCAGTCTTCAATTGTGAGTTAATGTTTGGTGTGTCAGTCTTCAAGTGTGAGTTAATGTTTGGTGTGTCAGTTTTCAATTGTGAGTTAATGTTTGGTGTGTCAGACTTCAGTTGTGAGTTAATGTTTGGTGTGTCAGTCTTCAATTGTGAGTTAATGTTTGGTGTGTCAGTCTTCAAGTGTGAGTTAATGTTTGGTGTGTCAGTTTTCAATTGTGAGTTAATGTTTGGTGTGTCAGTCTTCAAGTGTGAGTTAATGTTTGGTGTGTCAGTCTTCAATTGTGAGTTAATGTTTGGTGTGTCAGTCTTCAATTGTGAGTTAATGTTTGGTGTGTCAGTCTTCAAATGTGAGTTAATGTTTGGTGTGTCAGTCTTCAAGTGTGAGTTAATGTTTGGTGTGTCAGTCTTCAAATGTGAGTTGATGTTTGGTGTATCAGTCTTCAAGTGTGAGTTAATGTTTGGTGTATCAGTCTTCAAGTGTGAGTTAATGTTTGGTGTATCAGTCTTCAAATGTGAGTTATGTTTGGTGTATCAGTCTTCAAATGTGAGTTATGTTTGGTGTATCAGTCTTCAATTGTGAGTTAATGTTTGGTGTGTCAGTCTCAAGTCTGAGTTATGTTTGGTGTATCAGTCTTCAAATGTGAGTTATGTTTGGTGTATCAGTCTTCAAGTGTGAGTTATGTTTGGTGTATCAGTCTTCAAGTGTGAGTTATGTTTGGTGTATCAGTCTTCAAATGTGAGTTAATGTTTGGTGTGTCAGTCTCAAGTCTGAGTTATGTTTGGTGTATCAGTCTTCAAATGTGAGTTAATGTTTGGTGTGTCAGTCTTCAAATGTGAGTTGATGTTTGGTGTGTCAGTCTTCAAGTCTGAGTTAATTTTTGGTGTGTCAGTCTTCAAGTCTGAGTTATGTTTGGTGTATCAGTCTTTAAGTGTGAGTTAATGTGTTCTGTGTCAATCTTCAAGTCTGAGTTAATGTTTGGTGTGTCAGTCTTCAAGTGTGAGTTAATGTTTGCTGTGTCAGTCTTCAAGTCTGAGTTATTTTTTGGTGGTGTGTCTTCAGCGTTTTAAGATATATGGATTAAGGGCCGTGCGAAAGTGGGGCGAAGAGGGCGCTCGTCCCTTTCGCCAAAATGAAAAGTTGGGGAATGTGGCTCCACGCTGACCATTAGTTAGTTTATCAAGTATTCCTAGTTGCTGATTAGTTAGTTTACCAAGTATTCCTGGTTGATTATTAGTTAGTTGACCAAGTATTCCTAGTTGATTATTAGTTTGTTGATCAAGTATTCTAGTTGATTATTAGTTAGTTGACCAAGTATTCCTAGTTGATTATTAGTTAGTTGACCAAGTATTTCTATTTGATTATTAATTAGTTGACCAAGTATTCCTAGTTGATTATTAGTTAGTTGACCAAGTATTCCTAGTTGATTACTAGTTAGTTGACCAAATATTCCTAGTTGACCTTTATTTAGTTGATTAAGTATTCCTAGCTGACCCTTATTTAGTTGACCGGGTATTCCTTTTTGACAATTATTTAGTTGACCATTATTCCTAGTTGACTAATATTTTCGCTCATTCGTAACTGGTCGTGAATAGGGTCCCAGTTTTAGAAAGATGGAAGAACATTTCTGAAATATATTTAATCAGATTGACAATATTTGTAATTCCTGCGAAGGTCGGTGCCCAAGACTCCGGTGGCCAAGACTCCGGTAACCAAGACTCCGGTGGCCAAGACTCCGGTACCGTGGTGTGTACGCCATTGCTTGTAATAAACGTTTATTGTAAAGTTTCTATACAAATAAAACCAGAACAAACCTGTCTATTGGATTTCTGAACAACAAGAAAAATCTGGGATCCTTGTACAGATGTCGCATGGCGTGTGGGGTCAGAAATCTGGGTTCAGGGAGACCTTCATTTTGGGGATCCAGTTGCCAACCTCTAAAATCCCAAAAGTCCATCGGAGTGGCATCCCCTATTTTAGAAATAATTAATGATAGCCATTTTATCCACCTGGAACAGAAAGTTTGAGAACGCCTGGCTACCCTTGTCTATTGAAGTCACTTCAAATAAACAGCAGCATCCATCATTTAAAGTCATGTGTTTACTATTTTAAAATGCACTCAAACATCATTTCATTAAAATCTGTGATTTATTTACACATCAATTCATTAACATCTGTGATTTAGTTACACATCAATGACTTAGCACCAGTGATTCACTTACACCTAGATGACATATCATTCGTGTTCAGATGACACTAAGTGCTACCTGTTATAAGCTGTTCGTTGTTGTAAAGAAGTCCATCCACAATGGCCACAGACGCAGTGAAGAAGTACCGTGGATAACTCAACAGCGGCCATTTCCTGATTGTCTTCTTGATCCACAAACCTTTGAGAAACACGATAAAACGGTCAACATTTAGAATTAACTCTAAGATAGTATAGTCCATTGAGCAGTCAGATAATCCTACAGAACCATATTCAAAATCCTACGAAGCCCTATACAACACCGTACAAAACCATATACAAAACCATCTTAAATACTATAATTACCTTAACTACTACAACTACCATAACTACCATAACTACCACAACCCTCATAACTACTATAAATACCATATCTCAGCCAAGACCAGTAGTAAGTTTCCTTGCCCAGGCCACCATCATTCTTCAATATCAGCGGATGTGACGTCAGTCTCGCGTGAAAGACTGTAGTGCCACACTTGTCACTGCCTAGCACGTGAAAGTAGGGCAGACATTGAATCTTTGACGGGAAGGACGGGTGCCAAGAGGATGCCTCGTAGCATGGATTCTTGAAGTACTCGAGGTACATAGGTCTTTCCTGTAATCATATAAATGCAATGTAATAGAGTAGACTTTCTCAAGTGGTTGATACATTGTTATACAGTGGACTTTTCTGAATGGATGATATAGAGTTCTTGAGTGAGATAGTAGATACAATGTTATAGAGTTATCTTTCCAGAGTTAGTAGATACCGTGTAATAGAATTCTTTTTCCTGAGATAGTAGACATAGTGTTATAAAGTTCTCTTTCCTGAAAAAGTAGGTACAATGTTATCATTTTTTGTCCACGCTATTGAATGAATTTTAAAAAGTAAACCTTCTGCCCACTAACTCAATGAAATTATTCTATACTAGAATATATGACTCGATGTTATCGGGATATTAATTAATGGTAGGCATTTTGCGATAATTTGTATTGCGAAAAATCATTCCTTTTATTTTAAAAAGAAGTATCTATGTAATGATCTTAACGTTTCTACATCATTGAGTTTTGAGAAATATTTTACGCCGACCCTACCCCTTTTCGCGCCCCTGAACTACATTTTTTTTCTAAACATGACCTTAAATTAACAACTCTAAATGATCACTAATTAAATCATAATGGTCACTAAAGGAGTTCAGTAAGGGCGAATTTCTACGCTAGAGAAATAACTTAGATGTCTTGTATTTTTAATTTTTAATTATTCGGCGTACCCTACCACTTTTCGTGCCCCTGACCAACATTTCTTTTCCTCTAAAATTAAAAATAATAAACTTAAAATTATTGAAAAACTCTGTATACCAATTTAAATAGACATTGTATTAATCGAATGTGATATATTGAAACCTTCATTAAAAATTTTCATAAAAGGCTTGTCTTTGTTTTCTACTATATTTTCAGAAAATCTTAAGACAATGAATTCTTTTAACCATAGAAGAATCTCTTAACCATTTATCACACCTATAGCAGTCTTTAGTTACCGTTTTAAAGAAATGTTTTAATCTCATAAAATAGGCACCCACTTTACTTTTCGCTAAGTATATATATATATGCATATATATATTTATATTCATTTTTTTAAAAAAAATCTTGACCCGTCTTTTTAGGCACATGAACTGAAAACTAAAAAAAAAAAAAAAAAACATGGCTCGAATTTTTAAGATGAAATTTTTAAGTGTGTAAAATGATTCGATTTTAATATTCATGGGCATATACTTATGCAAATGTATCCACGTTTTTCAACGCCATTCATTTTCTGAATCCGTAAACGTAGGGTTATTTGTAAAAAGACGACGGCAATATCATTGGATTCACGTGCAAATGTACACACCCTCCTTCTATCCCAATTGCTATGTACCTAAGGGGTTAATTATCATCATATCCATTCCTTAATTCTGAGGCGTATCTTGTGCTGCCTTGGGCAAAAAGAAAGTATCAAATCCAGGCACCCCCCCCCCCCACCAACAGATTTTAGTTTAAATTAATACAATTATCCACGGGATGGTAGCTGCCTACGTACACAACCACGCAGTCACAACCACACAATTACAACCACACAGAGGCGTATTTTGTGCTGCCTTGGGCAAAAAGAAAGTATCAAAACCAGGCCCCCCCCCCCCCCACCAACAGATTTTAGTTTAAATTAATACAATTATCCACGGGATGGTAGCTGCCTACGTACACAACCACGCAGTCACAACCACACAATTACAACCACACAGTCACAACCATACAGTCACAACCACACAAACAACCACACATTTACAACAACACAGTTACAACCACACAGTCACAACCACACAATCACAACCACACAGTTACAACCACACAGTCACAACCACACAGTCACAACCACACAGTCACGACCACACAGTCACAACCACACAGTAAAACCACACAGTCACAACCACACAGTCACAACCACACAGTCACAACCACACAGTCACAACCACACAGTCACAACCACACAGTTACAGCCACACAGGCACAACCACGCAGTCACAGCCACACAGCCACCATTTTTGCACGTCACTGAACTTATTTGAAATGGTTAAGTCTCACATTTTCCCTTTCGACTGTTTTATATTCTCTAAAAGAATATATTTCTACACATAAATCCGTATATTGAAATCCAATGATTATTTAGTTTAACACTAGATAAATGACCCGATATTATCGGGATAATAATGATAGGTCCTTTGCGTAAATTTATAAGTGCTATTGCAAAAAATTATCACAATTCATAACTTTAAACATATAGTGCGATTTACATATATTCTCAAGACCCCAATTCTAACAAATTGGGCTGCTCGTCCGCGATAATACTGAATTCATATTATTATTATTATTTCTCATATTAGACCGAGGATAATTTTAATCCATAATTTTTATTACACCAATAATAAATTGAGTGTTTTTCTGTGGATTTTGACCCACTGTTTACTTTAATATACTCAAGCTAAATTTGATTACACGATACCATTTTACGATACCAATAACAGAGCTGGTTACAATTTTTCTTTAAATTCAATTACATTAGTGTGTGCACTAAGCGTAATTTTTTATATAAAGTGTTGTATTTTGCCTGTGTCAAAAAAATGGATTTTGATACATATTGCAGACCGTGGCAAAGGTGACGCACATACGGCAGCAGTGTTAGCCGACGACTTCACTATCTCACATCAACTTTCCAAGAATCCATCTGACACCAAAAATGACAGGCACAATAAGACAACAACATCAACTTACAGTAAACCTCCACAAAAAGCATACAAGCCTGGTACAAAAGAAACAAGTGCAAAGAACACATGTGCCTACTGTAAAAAAGGAAGGACATACGAGGGATGATTGCTGGAAACTTAAGAAGAAAACTGAGAAGACCACACATCCTGGTACACAACACAAAATCTCCGCTTGTACGTCTCGTCATACATCTGGAAACACATTTTCAAAATTCAAGAGTTTTTGCTCTCTAGATGTCCATACAAACTTCAAAGAGGTTTGTCACGACTCATCAAAGAGTTCCATTATGAACAATAAGGTTAGTTTTACTGACTCCAGCCAAGCTCCTGCTTCGACTGCGAGTTTTATGAGCTTGTCACCAAGATCCTTTTGCTCCAAGAAGAGGTTTAGCTCCAGAGGGCGTTTTACCGAGGACTTGTGTGCAAGTTTTGACGACTCTACCCAGAGTTTTACTTCCTCTACCCTAGCCGAATGTTCTCAAGACTCCAACAAGAGTTTACCTACCAAGGTCCAAAATTCTACATCAGAAACTACTGATGTCATACAAGACTTCATGCCTTTCATATCGGAAGGATTCGTATCACTGCCAGGTGATTTTTCCAGTCTACAACCAATCAAAATTTTACGAGATACAGGTGATTCACAGTCTTTGCTATTTGAGGGTATACTTCCCTTATCTGAATCTACTGCTACTGGGAGCAACATCCTGTTACGAGGTGTAGAGCTGGGATGCATAGATGTACCTTTACATCTCATCAACCTAAAATCAGACCTAGTCTCCGGACCTGTGGTTGTGGGTGTCCGACCAACATTACCATTGGACGGCATCTCGTTGCTGCCAGGCAATGACTTAGCTGGTGGGAAGGTGACAGCCGAGCCCATCGTTACTCATGAACCTTCTTTAAATGAAAATCAGGAAGAAGATCAAGAATTGTATCCAGCATGTGCTGTGACAAGGGCCATGAGTTCCAAGATCTCTAAAAAAGAAATTTCACAAAAAAACAATAAAATTCTTCCTGAAATTGACCTGGGAAAAACATTTTTCGCCAGTCTAAATGAAGAGGCTAGTAATTACAAGACTCCAACTCGAATGCAACTTATTGAAGAACAGAAGAGTGATTCAGAAATAGTCAAACTTTGAGAGAACGCTTTGACCCAAGAAGAAGCTGACCAATTATCTGTATGTTATTACCTTCAAGATGACATACTTTTGAGAAAATGGCGACCTCCAGACGCAAATGCTGACAAAGAATGGAGAATAGTTCATCATATATTTTGAGAAAATGGCGACCTCCAGACGCAAATGCTGACAAAGAATGGAGAATAGTTCATCAAATAGTAGTTGCTACACCTTTCCGGAACGAAGTCCTGAACTTAGCCATGACTCACCACTTTCAGGCCATTTGTGAGTAAAGAAGACATATGAAGACCACAAAGGAAAAAACGGCAGAGTCACATTTTTGTTGTTTTGAGATATTCGATTTTTAAAGTTCAAAACCATGCACATTAAAAATGTGTAAACAAAATGTAATTTTAAAAATGCATTTCACAAGAGTGTCCATTTCCCTGAGTTATTAAATAGATAAATTAATTTAAACTTGAATGTAACATGATTTATTTCATTATAGTAGAGAGTGGGGTCAAAATGGACTCTGCCGTTTTTTCCCTTGTAGTAATTTATCAAGGTTTGATCATTGCTAAATATCTATTTAAAACTATTTTATAAGTAAATTTTCACATTTAGGGGTCACTGGCAAATTACGTCACGCTTAGAGGGGGTGGGTTGAGAATATGCGACACTTTTTGGGAGGGGGAAGGGGGGGGTCAAAAAAAGTGACGTCACAATTTTTCATCTCTAAAAGTTTATAATTCTTTTTAAAAAATCATAATTTAATTAATTTTTAAAACATTAATTTGAGGTCAACTTTGCCTCAGGTATTATAGTATGGTACCATGAAACTCGGTTTTCTAGTAATACTACATCTTATCATTATGGCAGTGGTTCTCAACCTTCTTAATGCCGCGACCCTTGAATGCAGTTCCTCATGTTGTGGCGACCCTCAACCATAAAACTATTTTCGTTAGTACTTTATAACTGTAGAGGATATGCATTTGCCGATTGTCTTATGTGACACCTCTAAAGGAGTCATTCGACCCATAAAGGGGTTGCCACCCACAGGTTTAGAACTGCTGTATTATGGGAAAATGTTGAAGAATAAAATAATATCTTAGTTTAGTTATGAAAATTTTATGTATGTTTTGAGTTTTTTTAGGTGATGTGACAAGGGGCGAGGGGGAGAATTTGTGACATTTCGTGTCAAG